CTCATCATGTAACTGTAAAACCTTAAGAAACTATTCATATGATAGTTCTGTAATAACAAACTAATAAAAATCTAATCAGCTAAGGAAGTGGCCTTAATAATAAAAAAAAAAAAAAAATAAAAAATTAAGAAAAAAAATATATATAGCTATAGCTACATATAGTTATCCAATAAAACTAATTAAATTTTAGGATCAAGTATTATGTAAAATCAAAAAAATACTAGGAGGATCAACAGACACTCTCTCCATGTCAGAGATAGAGTATCAATAAAAGAGAAAATAAAATTTTACAAGCTAGGTTTAGTAATAAATATTCTATCTTGACAAGGGCGAAAGCCTTTGTACCAAGGAAAAGAAAACAACTAGAAACTGAGAAAGAAAATCCTGATATTAAAAAAAAGAAAACACATGATACAAACCTACAAAACAGAAATGAAAATGAACTCAATAGCATTATAAACCCAAAGCAAACCACAAAAATTACTAAAAATCTCCAAACTATTTTCAACAAAATTAGCAATAGCTGCTGGCAAAAAATAATGAAAGAAATATACGTACAAGGAGACGTGCTTCCTTCAAAAAATGATATAGAAAGTATATCTAAAGACGTGAATACTACAATAGAAATTGCTAGAAGATCCAATAATCTAGAATCAGGTGACGGAAGTCCACATGACACACAGGATCAACAAACCTTAATGGTAAACATTAATACAGATAATACTCCTACTTCTAATCATAAAGAAACCTCAACTGAGGGAACTCGTTCAGAGAAAAGAGATATACATACATTTAACAGAAGTGGTCTAGTCTTTTCACAATACTAAAAAAAGGGTATACTATGTTCTCCAAATATACACCAAAAGAGAATATAGCACCAAAAATAAGAATGCCCTGATTTTCAATATTCAAAGTCTAGAGGATATACCTATAAATAAAATCATCTCAGCAATGTATGCGAAAATTGGAGACGAATTTGTAGCTGCTAAACCTCACTTCATGAAGGGGAAAAGAACTCATCTTAAAATAGTATTTGAGAATAAAAGTAAGCAAAGATACTATGTCATAGAAGGTATAGAACTGTTTAGACAAACACTGTTAAGGTACATTTCTACGAACCTAAGACAAACCTATCTTGCAGTTTAACTTCGGAATGTCCTAATAGGGAAGAAAGATTTCATCTTAGAAAGAATTAAAGAGGTATTTGAGGTATTCAGATCGATCAAATTTATCAAACTCTTAGTATACAAAGATACACCAATCTGCACTAACCAATAAATAGTGTTATATGAAACTACTAATGATCTAGAGCATGAAAACAGAATCTCTAGACACACAAGTGTTTGGAGACAAAAAGTCCTTACAGAATAGAGATTAGCACCAAAAGTCTGCTTTTACTGTGACTAAGCTGGCATATCAAAAGAGACTGCTTATAATTTAAAGAGGCAATAGTCACTAAACAGTTATATAAAAATCACAAAGAGAATAGACAAACTGAAGAAAAGCTACTACCCAATCACTCTACTTTCAGCAACAATAACTCATATATAAACAATATCGATAATAGGAGTAAGACAGATGAAATGATGCAGGAAAAAGAAATAAATAGGAAAGAAGATGATGTCATGTTAGTAAATGATGAAGAAAGTCTGGAAAGTATAGTCAAAAATGAAAAAAACAATGATTATGAAATAACATAAAATACAAACACAATAGTAATCGAAAATGAAGAAAACACAGAGGTCAATATGGTTGATGAAAATCAAGCTTCAGAAGATAGTTTCACAATAGTATCATACAATAAACATAAAACCAGGTTAAAAGACTCTCTACAAAAATACTACTACAAGTCCTACAATAAGATAAAACATAACGGAGGCAGTCCTATAAACAAACCTAATTCTAACCAAGATTAATGAACAAACACAAAATTAAAATCACTACTCTAAATATTAAGAGGCTCAACAACCAAAACAAATTTCAAAAAACTATAACCCTTTTAAAATCATATAGAATAGATATAATTATGCTACAAGAAACGAATCTAAAGGACAGTAATACAAGAGACTTCACCAAACAGCAATAGCTATTTAACTCATATTGGAACTCTAAAACAGCAATTCTGGCTAAAAACCAGAATATAAATTTTAGTAACATACAGGAAACACTCGATGACAGAGTGGTGAATACTACTTTCTAATTCAAGAATTATACATTTCATATCACTAATATATACACACCCTCTAATATAGAAGATAGGTGCATTTTTTTCAACAGATAGGCTCCAAAAATTTAATATAACATGATCAATATCATCACAAGAGATTTTAATACAAACCTAAACATAGAAGATAAAAGGATTAGTCAGACTAGTGCCCACAGTGATTCTACCAGAGAAATACTCAGAAGGTTGATAAAGAAATTTACTGAAATAGCAGATATAGCAGAAAAATGTCTCTTTATAACTTTCTCTCAAAAGACTAGAGGCAACCAGATCATGTCCACAAGGTTGGACTACATATTCATCGATAAAAGCTATACACAATTCTGTAAATACATATCAACAAGATATGGCAACTCAGATCATCTCATAGTTGAAAGTGAACTGGTGCTAACTCGAATACTATCACAAATAGCATACTGGAAGCTAAATCAAAGAAGCCTACAAGAACCTAAAATTCATAAAAAAATCACTGATATACTAAGAGAAACTAAAACAGTAAATAAATGGGACTTCCAGAAATGTAAAAAACAATTAGTAATTAGAGGTTTCAAACTCCCAACAGTGCTGGAAAACTTAATTCAAAAACTCAACAAGAAGATCACAAAACTTAATACTGAAATAGCTAGAGATGCAAGAAAAGAAGATCTTTAATTAGTAGTAGAACAATTATTGAACAAGTTATAGGATAAGTTGTTAATACTCTCTGAAAAATGGCAAATATGCTTCAAAGCAAAATAGATTGAAAAAGGTGAAAAATTGATAAAATACTTTTTTTGCATGTTACAAGGCTCACCACACAGCAACTGCCACCACTCAGATCAGGATATCTAAAGAACCAAATAATACTAATTAGAGAGATATTTTATATTATATTAAGAATGAATACAAGAAGTTATATAGAGCAGAACCAGTTAACACAAAAGCAATAGATAGCTTAATGGAGAGACTCCTAATTGTACAAGCAGAACAAAACTCAAGTCTAATCAAACAAATCATGATGGAAAAGATATCAAAGACTATAAATACCTCTCAAATTGCAAGTCTCTAGGCCCCAATAGTCTCATATACGAATTCTATAAAGAAATGCAAGAAATAGCTATTCCAACATTGCATAAAATATTTAATGAAGTATTAAACATAGGCATTTTACCAAAATCTTGGAGCAGAAGCATCATAACACTTATTCCTAAAAAATTAAACTCTCCTAAATTAGTCAACAACTGGCACCCTATATTACTTATAGATTGCGATCTCAAAATTTTTATGAAAATAATAGCAAACAGACTAAATCTGATCTGCAATTGCATAATTGGCAATCACTAACAAGGCTTTATCTCAGGGTATTCAATTCTAGATATGACTCTTGATATAATAGCTACTCTGAGAGAACAAAGCATACAAACACAGGCCCACTAGATGCTTTTCTTCAATTAGAAAAAAGTATTCGATAAAGTTAATCACACCTTCCTTTTACACATCCTAGAGAAAATGAATTTTAGCAATATCTTCATCAGGATAGTGAGAAACCTCCTTACATCACAAAGAGCCTACATAACAGATAATAGCATAATATCAGAATCCTTTAAAATAGAAAGAGAGGTCAGATAGAGAGACCCACTCTTCACTCTCCTTTATATAATAGCATTTGAGACCTTTCTAAGAACACTAAAAAGAGAGCTCAGAGGAATCAGAGTAAATAACCTTTACTTTAAAATAGCAGTATACACTGATGACCTCATCATAGAAATGTTATCACGCACTGACTGGGATACCTTCTTTAAAATAGCAAAACTTATGAAAATGCATCTAATACAATAATCAATATATCAAAATCAATAATTGCCTCCTTACAAACAGTGCTCTAAGAACTGAAATAGAAGAACTATCTGATTTCAAAGTATTAAAGGAGAACAAGACAATTAAAGCCCTAGGATATGAAATAGATAGCCAAGAAAAACCAAAAAAAGAAATGTAGGCAAAAACAATAACAAAACTTAAAATGCTTAGCGAAAAGATATTCTCATGCAATCTCTCGTTTAAAGGGAAAGTTCTTATCACAAAATTACTGCTGCTATCTAAGATATGATATATAGTATACCTACTATCACCAAACAAAAGACAATTAACAGAAATCAGTAATATAATAATGAAAATGATCAAAAACAAATTCAAGATACTCCCAAGATACTCATTATTTCAGTAAACT